GCCTGGGCACGATGCAGACCGACAAGGAGGATGTGAATCAACTACTAAACGCTTTATCCTGGACTTTCAGCAGCAATCTCTTCAGTTACCACACCGACTGTCCCCAAATTGAAAAGTTTGGCTGGCTGGAGGTCACGCATCTGCTAGCGCCAGCCACGCAGTACGTTCGCGATATGGAAGCTCTGTATACTAAGATCCTTGACGACATTCTGGACGCTCAAGAGCCCAGCGGGCTGGTTCCCACCATGGCGCCCGAGATCCGATACATGTGCGGCCCGCTGCATGATACCATCACCTGGGGATGTGCCATATGCCTTCTGCCCGATATTCTGAGAGAGTACTACGGTTCAACACATGTCGTCGCCAAGGTGTTCCCCGCGGCAGTGCGATACATGGAGTACATGCGCACCAAAGAGCGCCGAGGGGGATTAATCGAACACGGACTTGGGGATTGGGGCCGCGGAATTGCCTTTGGTAATAATCAAGCTAATATCGAAACCGCGATATACTACCGGTGCCTACAGTGCGTCGCCATGATGGCTCGCGAGCTGGGAAAAATGCAAATGGCAGAAGAATTCGAACAGTGGGCCGCTCGGATCTACGCCGTGTACAACCGTCACTTGCTGGTCACGGACGATGCGTCTCATCCCTACGCCTACTACACCTCACTAGACAACTACCCAGAACGCGACCGAGACGCAATTGCCCAGGCCATGGCCTTGCAATTCGGCTTGGTCCCTGAGCAATATCGCAAGGACGTCATGGCTGCCTTCTTGGATGATGTGGCCGATGGTCGTATGCGTGCCGGGGAGATCGGGCTGCGTTTCCTTTTCAACACCTTGGCTGATGCGAAGCGACCGGATCTGGTATTGCAGATGGCCCGCCAGGAAGAGCACCCATCCTACATGCGGTTCCTGCGACGTGGAGAAACCACCCTGTTGGAATTTTGGCAAGACGAGTGCCGCAGCAAATGCCACGACATGCTGGGAACTATTTATGAATGGTTCTATGCGGCCGTCCTGGGATTGAAGCCTACAGGACCGGCATATCGTACCTTTGTGGTAGACCCGCCTTATGACGCTGAATTTGACCACGTCAAGGGTAGCGTGGATTGCCCCTATGGGAAGATTGGGATTGAATTCACGCGCAACCAGCAGGGTCAGACCACTGTGAATGTGAGCGTGCCCTTTGGCACCACCGCCACGGTTAAGCTTCCCCGCAGTGGCAAGTCTTCGGCATATTGTCGGGAGGGAGAGGAGAGGAGAGATGTGGTTGGGGGGGAGGTCAGCCTGAGCCACGGCGTCTATTCGATCTTTGTACGCTAGCAGCCATTAGACTCTCGTAACCGTTTCACGCAGCTTGACCATCTTGCTAAATGGCCTGATCGTGTCTAAATCCCATCAACGTATGTGGGTGTCTCGGTAGGATGCCGACCGAGTCAACCAAAGTAAGTAAAACCGAATCGTAACGGCTCTGGAAATGCCAGCGAATCCGCGTGATTATCCTGGAGGTATGTATCAAATGGTGCTCGGGATATCCGAGTCCAAGGGTTTGTGTGTGGCCTTGGCTGGTGGCTTAACCCGGTTCGAACTGGCGTGCCGCGCTTAGGGCTCACCACCCCAGATGGGCCAAAGAGATGGATACCAGTCTAGTAGCTACTCTAGCCCAACTTCAGAAATAATGGGGTCTCTAACAACCTTTTGGGATGCTTTCGGGTCAGAGTCTCCCGAAGCCATCTCCGCGTTTACCCCAGAATGAGTGATTCCGGATTGCCGCGGCGGCAAGTGAGCCATATTGCCTATACCCAACCCCGGCTTCGTTCTTGGGTTAACCGGACATACTAATCAGATCAGACGCCACTATGTGAGGGGGAATAGTCTGGCTGTTGGTATATAGTTGGACGGCGCTACCGGCCCTACCCATAGGTTTTTGGCAACTTGAAAAGCAGTTCTCTGGCCAAACGACCATTATGGCCAAGCTATCAACATTGTTCTCCGCCGTCTTCTTGGCCATTGGAGGTAGACATCCTTTTCTCCTATTTTCTCCTTGACACGAGAGTGAATATATATGTATCAATAACTCTAACCCGTACGAATAAATAGGCTTCCTTTTCGGATATGACAGTGGTATCATTACCTCGACAATCGGCCAAACCGAGTTCATCAGATACTTTAACAACCCAAATGATACGGTGACAGGGGGTGTGGTATCTGCGTTTCAAGGCGGTGCCATTCTCGGAACCATCATCAACATCTTCACCGGTGATCGACTGGGACGCAAAAAGTCCGTCTTTGCCGGTGCCTGCGTCTCCATTGTGGGCTGCGCGCTGCAGGGCGGAGCGGTCAACATGACCATGCTCATCATCGGTCGGTTTATTGCAGGTGTGGCGGTGGGCATGCTGACCGCTACCGTGCCCATGTACGCCGGTGAGATGGCCGAGGCTGCATCCCGCGGAATGATGTCGGGTCTGCTGCAGTGGATGTTGAGTTGGGGGTCTTTAGTTGCGCAGTGGTTGGGATATGGATGTTCCTTTAATAGTACCGATTTCCAATGTGCATTTCCCTTGATCCTGGCTGGTTTATGCCGCATGTGTACGAAGTGCCTAACTCACTTTCACAGGGCGCTTCCCACTTGCGTTTCAATGCGTCCCTGGCCTCGTTCTTATGACTGGTGTCTGGTTTCTCCAGGAATCCCCCCGCTGGTTGATGGAACAAGACCGCCACGAAGAGGCGTTGGCCACACTACACCACCTGCACGGTGATGGCACCCCAGAAAAGTCGCAGTACATCGAGCTGGAGTATCAAGAGATCCGGGACACCATTGAGGCGGAGCGCGCACACAACACCATTACTTGGACCTCAATCCTCACCAAACCTTCCTGGCGTCGTCGCCTCATCCTCGGCTGTGGTGTGCAGGCTTTTGGCCCATTGTCAGGAATCAACGTCATCAACTACTATGGAACGCGCATCTACAGCTCATTGGGCATTGATACGCGCACCACTTTGATGATCATCGGTATCTCAGGCGGCCTGTCGATCATCTATTGCACCATCGGACTCTGGGCCCTGGAGCGGGTGGGTCGGATCCGACCGCTGATCGTCTCCGCGGCTGGCATGGCAGCAGCGCTGGTGTGCAATGCGGCCATGTCCCAGCATTACAACGAGGCTAACACCAACCAACTGCGTGCAATGGTGGCAATGAACTTTGTTTTCAGCCTGTTCTATACATCGCCGGGTATCATCTCCTGGGTCTACCCCGCGGAGATCTTCCCCGTGGATATTCGTAACCAAGGCAATTCCATCACAACCTTCACGAACTGGACCGTCAATTTGGTTTTCGCGCAATTCTCACCCACAGCCCTATCCAACATTGGCTTCCGTTACTTCTACGTTTTCTTTGTGTTTAATCTAATTGCTATGATCTGCTATATCTTCTTCTTCCCGGAGACCAAGGGTAAGACGCTCGAGCAGATGGATGAGCTGTTTGGGGATGTGATGATGTCTCCCGAAGGCATGAAGGGGAAGGAAGAGCCCCAAGTGACAATGGTTGAAGATTCCGGGCATGTGCCGTTCTAAGTCGCATGTCGTCACTCTCTTGGATATTCAATCAATCAACTAGGATTCCAGCGGACTATAATTGCTGTGGTTATTGATTATTTAGCAAATATGGGAGACGCTCGCCGAACACTCCCTTGCGTGTTCAACTGTTGAATGCATTTGCCACTATGTCCTTTCATAGACTGTTTCAAATGGTCTAGGTCTACTGCTTCCCTTGTAAGCTCGATCTAAAAGAATCCATGACGACCGCTAAGTCAACCCATCGCGTCGTACGGATTGCCTGGAATGGCGCACCAAACCTAATACGCCTGGAGCGAGCGAGATCCTCCATGAACGGCTCAGAATGGTAGGAAGATCAATACCAACAAGTGACTATTGTATGACCACTTTATCAATCACCTTTCATATGGAAACGCAAGTTTTCTCGTAACGTTGCTCTTGTTTTACCGCCAAGAGAGATTTCCTGGACTCTAACCCCATATGTCAATCCATTCTAAGAAATCAGAGCCGTGCTACGTAAGTTACGAACATGTCATGAACGTCTCTGCTTAACCCTTTGAGCGACTCCACTGTTCGGAAAGTGGATGCCCGAATTGCATTTTTCCATAGGAAACTTTGGAAATGTATCTACAGACCTGCCTTAGTAGGAACAGCGTACAAACAATACAAGATATCTCCGAAATTGTATTCTAAGTTTTTAGTGACATATATGTGGACTTTTGCACTACACCTGTTGAGTAAGGTGGCCTTTCTAACACCACTATTGGTTCTCGATGCCCAAAAGGACTGTACTAGGTAAGGTCAGATGCATCCCACACACATCAAATTACATTGCTCGACCACCCTTCCCTAATATAGCCCGGCGCATCCTAGTTGAAGTTCTAACCCTGACGCACGCGACCAAAAAAGGATAGGGACTTACCTAATACTTTGCTGTTATCAGTTTCAGGAAGCAGTAATATATGCAGCAGGAATCGTTCACTTTGAGACCAGTAATTCATAAAGCTGTAGATCTCGGGACGTACAGGGTGTAAGGGGTATATGGGTAACCCGATTGGGAAGGTAGTTTGGACAGTATAATTACTTTGCCCAATTAAATCCACTTATATAGTCATGTATCTATCTTAGTCAATAATTATGTCGCTGCTGGCGTTCTGCAACCTTTCTAACTACATTTGGAGAATGCGGTACTCTGTCTGTGTGTATTTCGCTTAGTTCATCGTGGATGTTCTCCGGTGGTGTCTAAGCTACCCGACGGAGAAAAATATATAACCAGTATACTTGTAGTCAACTGTGGCGCGAGATGTTACCGGGTTCTCACCCCCACCCCAACCAAACAAGCATCTCTCCCACTCCAATGACTTTGTTTTATATATGACAAACAGTCTATTGGTACACGAAAGCTAGATAATTGCAGGCCTGACACTGTTCTTCAAGAAAGCCATGGAACATTCCGAGAGATCCTTTCGGGCAATAATCGTCGGATCTGGTATTACTGGACTATCGATGGCCCACGCTCTGGAATGCGCCGGTATTGATTACATTGTGCTGGAAAAGAATAATCAGGCTGTACCTCACGCGGGAGCAGCATTTATACTATGGCCACATATCACACGTATACTGGACCAATTCGGGTGTCTTGACAAGTTCCGGGAAGTCTCGCAACCGCTACGATGTGAGAATCGAAGGGGCCCAAATGGAAAGCTTATTGTCCAAACAAAATTGTCCAGCTACCTTGAGAGAAGGAAAGTCTCCAGAATTGAATTGCATATAAGGAAGATGAGTTAACAGGGATTCAGTTTCGGATATCCAACACTTTCACTTGATCGCAGAGCGGTGCTAGATGTTCTTTACACAACCCTTCCGAATCAGTCTCGTGTGATGACGGGAAAACGCGTCGCGTCAATGCAACACACACAGGATGGGGTCGAAGTTGTCTTAACAGACGGCAGCAGAGAAAAAGGAGATATTATCATTGGAGCGGACGGTGTTTACAGTACTTGCAGGGAATACCTTTGGAATCATGCAAATACTCGTTCACTGGGTACAATTACTATCACTGAAAAGAAGGGTCAGTCATACTCACAGGATGAATTCAAATGTGATTTCGTCAGCTAACATTGCATCCTTTGCAATATAACGCAGCGTTCCGGATGTCATACAAATGCCTTGTTGGCGTTTCATCTCCGTTGCCTGATTTGAAGCCGTATGAGCCGCATGTGTGCCATAATAAAGGGTTCACGATACTAGCCTACCCACTATGTGATAAAATATGCTGGGGGGTCTCCATTCGAACAGACCAAGAGTATCCCTGGCCAACAAAGGTTAGGTATAATTCACAAGATATTGACACAACTGCAGCATCTCTTATGTCATCTGCAGTTACAGAAACCCTCCTATTTGGCGAACTCTGGCATGCGAGAATCCAGGCAACCTTGGTTCCCCTACAGGAGGGAATCATGGAGCATTGGAGCTCTGGTCGTATTGTACTAGTCGGGGATTCTGCACACAAGGTATGGTTTTCCCACCTTTACTGGTCCGCCGAAGGCTTTGGACTTTTGAGCTAATATTAACTACCTAAAGATGACCCCAGATGCAGGACTTGGAGGCGGTTGCGGCATTGAGGACGCTATCGTTCTCACAAATCTCCTCAAGGATGAAATGGAGAAGAAAGGCGTAGTACAACTTGATGAAACCCAGATAGAAAATTGCTTTCTTGCCTATGAAGATCAGCGGAAAGATCGAGTGAAGATCCTGCTAAAGCTATCAGGTCGCTGCACTCGTCAAAGATCATCCGGTTCCCTCGTACAGTTGCTTATAGGGCAGCTTCTACTACCGCTTCGTCAAAAATTCATGTGGCAAGCAATGAGTGAAATTGTTGCCGCGGGACCGTCGCTCACAGTTTCTCCCTGTAACGGGGCAAGGTCGGGGCGTTCAAGCAATCGTAGCCTGGGATATATGGGGACCCGGCAATCTAAGAAGGAAAGGACCAATGCACTTAACCTCCTACTTGCAGTTCCAGTGCTCTTGGTATTCACACTCATTTTCATGTTGTCCTACTATTATTGAGATCTCATGATACACTGGCATTTAACATTCGTCTCTGAAATGTTCATTAGACATGTACTCAGTGGGACAAATTTGTAGGACACGTGTCTTTGTTGTTCACATGTGAGGGTAGATTGTGTAAGATCTTCATATGAGACGCTTGATTACAGTAGAGAAAAAAATGGAAATAAATAATTGTACGAGGTATAGATGAAGTCTATCATGACGAACGGCTTGGCAAGATAATACTGACTTGTCATGACAGCTGAGTGTATCTGCCGACTTATGAGACGGAAATGTCTCGTTGAAGCAGTAATACTAGTAGCCTCGGTCCCGTGACCCCTACATACCAAACAACCCCTACTTCTACGCGCCTCGCTGCGCAACCCCTAGATAGGAACACAACACATACAACTCTCTGCCCTTTCCTAGCTTCAAAAACGGGTAGACGTTCCAACATGTCTCATTGGCACACTCACATTCATCGAACGCGGCGAGGGGCTCACAAACACATACATGCAAATGAGTGTGGATCTTCTTTCACCAGATGCACGTCGCAAAGTCGGGTAATATGAGGTAGGCGGCTGCTTCCGGGCACATCATATGAGGCATATAATTGGGATTATGAAACAGCAGGTGCACAAATGAGGGGCATCTGCATGCGTAAGCATGTGCAACAGCGCAGAATTGGCAGCAGACATTCTCTTTGGAAAAGCCTGTTTCTGGCCCCGAGATTCACTGGGCATGGTCCCCCAGAATGAGTGAAAACCCCTCACAATCCACTTTGAACTTCGGTTAGGTTTCCTCTACTATGCCTATTCATCCGAGCACTTTGTTATCTACCCTGACTAGCAAAACGAGAAAGCACCTCAAACAATGACCGACGTTGAGGCATTCAATAACCCGCGTGTGCAAAGGGCACTTGTCATAGAGAATACGGGAAACTTGGCCGTACGGGACGATGTGCCGGTACCAGACCTCAAGAATGGCTGCGTCCTTGTCAAAATTGATTTCGTAGGGCTTAATCCATTTGACGCAAAAATAATTGATTACAGCCCTATAGGCGGGTCTACACCGGGTATTGAGTTTGCTGGAAGGGTGTACGCTCTCGGAATATCCGCAACCCATACATTGCAAGTCGGAACTGCGGTCTGTGGTATTATGCCGGAGCCTATCTCGATGGTGCCAACTCATGGGGCCTTTGCGGAATTTATTACAATTCCACCGGAATACCTCATCAAAATTCCCACTCATATGCCAATGGAGGCAGCAGCAGCAATTCCAGTGGGGTCGATGACTGCTGGTCTGGCATTATATCAAACTCTGAACTTGCCCTGGCCCCAGCAGCGACGTGACTCCAGCCCCTACGTGTTAGTTTATGGGGGCAGCACTACTACCGGATCCATGGCGATCCAATTTCTCAAGTTGTGAGTAGTAAACCCGCAAATGCTTATCATCAGCCAGGCGATTGGTATGAGTTCCACCGATATTAACAATGGCTAGATCCGGGTGCATACCGCTTACAGTATGCTCCCCTCATAATTTCTCCCTAGTTCACTCACGTGGCGCCGCAAAAGCTTTCGACAGGCACAGCTCACAATGTGCGGCTGAAATATCCGAGTACACTGCAGGTAACCTGCATTACGTCCTGGATTGTATCTCGGAGGAGGGCTCTTTTGATTTATGCCGTGATGCAATGGGAACCGGTGGAGGGCAATATGTTGCTGTCAATCCAATTCCAGATCACCAAATCGTCAATAAAGACATCGAATACAGTATGGTCGTATGTTCTACCATCTCGGGAACGCCAAGTGAATTGCCTCGCTACTGGAGCCTAGACGCTCGACCGGCAGACCATGAATTTGCTATTAGGTGGTGTCAGGCAGTGGAGACTATGCTGGCAAATTCCAAGATCCAACCGCATCCCATCCTCGTCCACAGAAAAGACGGACTCGTTGGGATATTAGACGGACTGAGAATGCTGCGGACCGGGAAAATCTCCGGTCAAAAGTTAGTCTATGGCGTGAGTACCCGCAAATTATCAAATGCTAATCACACCCGAGGGCCGACAATAACGCCAAGGTTATGCCCTCACATATTACATGAGAAAGGGACGGTGATTGGGAGCTCGTGTCGGTTTCCTGGTGGCATAAATTCGCCTTCAGCTTTATGGAACCTACTGAAGTCGCCAAAGGATCTGTTGAAGCCAATTCCACGGGAAAGGTTTGACACAAGAGGGTTTTACCACCCAGACAGCCTTCATCACGGTACCACGAATGTGAAGGATTGTTATTTGCTTGAACAAGACCCGGGTGTCTTCGATGCCGAATTCTTTGGCATAAGCCCCGCTGAAGCAACGTCAATGGATCCTCAACAACGAATCATGCTTGAGGTAGTATATGAAGCTATTGAGAGCGCTGGCTACTCGATCGATGACATTAGGGGAACTGATACTGGCGTCTTTGTGGCCTGTATGTGGAGTGATTATGCGGATATTCAACAAGCTGATATGGATACTATACCCCAGCATTCAGCAACAGGAACAGCACGCAGCATACTTTCCAATCGCATCTCCCACTTTTTCGATTTGAAAGGTCCATCCATGACAATTGACACAGCCTGCTCATCCAGCCTTGTTGCTATTCACCAAGCCATGCAAAGCCTCCGCAATGGGGAGTCTAGAATGGCAATTGTGGCAGGTGCGAACTTAATCCTGCGCCAAGAGGCCTTCATAAGCGAATCCAATATGAACATGTTATCCCCTCATGGGCGAAGCAAGATGTGGGCAGCTGATGCCGATGGATACGGAAGGGGGGAAGGGTTCTCCGCTGTTCTTTTGAAGCTGGACCGGAATGCGACCGCTGATGGTGACCACGTGGAATGCGTGGTGCGGGAGACAGGAGTCAACCACGATGGCCACACGAGGGGCATCACTGTCCCCAGTTCCAAGTCGCAAGAGTCCCTGATAAAGTCTACATATGTAAAAGCCGGATTGGACCTTTCCAGGGAATCAGATCAATGCCAATATTTCGAGGCGCACGGGACAGGCACGCCGGCGGGTGATCCCATCGAGGCAGAAGCAATTTTCAATAGCCTTATTCGAGGGCGACCCCGTGAGAACCCCTTACGTGTTGGATCTATCAAAACCATTATTGGTCATCTTGAAGGCTGTGCTGGGCTTGCAGGGCTCCTAAAAGCCTCTTTGTCTTTACAAAATGCCGCAATCCCCCCAAACCTCCATCTGACTACCCTCAATCCCCGAGTTGCACCATTCTATAAACTTCTCAAGGTTCCCACCCAACTCGAAAGCTGGCCCAACCATCAGCATCTGTCAATTCGTCGAGCCTCCGTGAACAGCTTCGGATTCGGGGGCACTAATGCCCATGTCATCCTGGAGTCGGCATCTGACCGCAGCGCAAGTCGTGTTTATTCAGCACCTGCCGGGCCTTTAGTCGTGTCTGCAGCCTCTCCGTCCTCTTTGAGAGCTAATGTGCAAAGCCTGCATGGTTACATACAATCGATGGACGAAATAAACTTGAATGACCTGACATATACACTTCAACGGAGAACAACACTCCCATTCTTAACCAGCTTTCCCGGTGGCTCACGAACTGAGCTGATAAAGCAAATGGCCTCTTGGACCACAACTGAAGCCGCGGGGGATAAAGGAGGTGTCTCTTCGTCACAGGCAATAAAAACGTCCATATGGGGGATATTTACAGGACAGGGGGCACATTGGGTTGGGATGGCGAGGATCTTGGTCCACAATTGCATGGTCTTCAGAGAAACGATCGATGCACTGGATGAGGTACTGCGTGCGCTTCGTGACCCTCCTAAGTGGACATTGATCGACGAGCTTATCGGAGCCAAGGATAGGAATTCAGTGGGCTTGAAAAGTGCAGCCATTTTGCAGCCACTCTGCACAGCTATCCAGCTGGGACTCCTGGCCCTCCTCCGCCATGCAGGCATCGAGTTCGACACCATAATCGGACATTCATCTGGCGAGATTGCGGCTGCGTATGCGGCTGGCTGTATTTCGCGGGATGATGCTATCAGGATTTCCTTTTATCGCGGTCTTCATGGTACGAGCACCGAGAAGGACGGGGCAATGGCTGCCATTAAGCTCAGCCCTGCCGCAGTCTTTGAGATAATCGAAGGGTTGTCCCTGAGCAGTCACGTCTGTATTGCAGCATATAATTCTCAGGAGAGTGTCACCGTTTCCGGTGATACAATGGCAATAGACTTACTAATCTCAGTCGCTACGGCGGCCAACATTGCTGCCAAGAAATTGACCGTGGACATTGCTTACCACTCTAGCCACATGGAAAACGGTGTCCAGCCGTACCTTGATAGCCTACACGACAGCAATCTAGCCTACTCACCATGTCGCCCACGCTGTCTTTGGGTTTCTACTGTTACTGGAAAGCCAATGGGATCGGACATTGATTCCCTGCATTCGACATACTGGGCGGAAAATCTCGTCAAACCCGTCCAGTTCAAGCAGGCTATAGAGTCAGCGCTGATTGAGCGAGGCCGCCCCGGTATTGTTCTTGAAGTCGGGCCCCATCACACGTTGAAAGGGCCGGTTCTAGAAACAATCGATAAACTCCACAGAAGATCTGTTCCTTACACGAGTCTTTTGAAAAGAGATACAGATGATATACAATGCTTTTCCGGAGCACTTGGGTGCGTATGGGAGCACTGCGGTTCATCTGCAGTCGACTTCGTTGGGTACCTAGAGGCCTTCTCAGATAAGCCCCAGACCAAGGTACTCAAGGCGCTCCCCCCTTACAGTTGGGATCATGAAAAAATTTACTGGCATGAGTCTCGCTTGTCGGAACAGCATCGCACTCGTTCAAATCCCCCACATGATCTGCTCGGTGTGATCGTCCCGACTATGTTCGACGATGGCAAGGTCTTCCGCAATATCATCCACCTCAGTGAGATGCCTTGGCTTAAAGGTCATCGATTTCAGGGAGAGGTTGTTCTTCCTGCTGCAGCCTATGTTTCGGCGGCGCTGGAGGCTGTCACAGTCGAATTCAAAAATCGAGAAGTGGGATCAGTTGAGATACGAAACGCGATCATTCATCATGCAGTACGCCTCGAGGAGGACTCAGCTGGAGTTGAGTTAGTTTCTGCTTTTGATGTGGTTCACGATGAAGATGATAGCCCAAGGGGAACTATTTTCGTCATTTCATTCTCCTGTCATACAGCCGCCATCCGGACAGGATTTCCTGCCAAAAAGGTTTTCAGCTGCGAATTGTCTGTCATAATTGGCCATTCGTGGTTGGACCAATCTGATGAGCCGGGCGCCATGATCACCCCATCATCAATGGCGGATGTTGGTATTGAATCAGTATACAGTAATTTACGTTTAGTCGGTCTCGAGTATGCGGATTTGTTCCGATGCCTTGCCTCTGCCTCCCGCGATATGCCTTATGCTTCAGCCTCGATAATCGCACCGACTTCGTCTTCCCTTCTCCATACAACAATACTTGATGCGTGCTTCCAGACCACAATTTCTGCATATTCACCATCTGCTCTGTCCGCATTTTGGTCCCCGTTTTTGCCGCGAAGCATTGGTAGGATCCATGCGAATTTCCAATTCCTGAAGCAACATGCATGCTCCGGCGAGAGCTTAAGAATCAATGCCAACATCACAGATTCATCTTCTGCGTCCATACATGCAGATGTTGGTCTCTATCATGAGAGCACAGGAAGAGTGTTGTTACATATGGAGGATGTCACACTGGCCCCCCTCTCCCACCGAAGTGCAGACCAAGACAAAATCATGTTTTGGCAGGAGACTTGGCGGGAAGACACCATGAGTGGCTCTCTCATCCAGCCCTTTCCGAGGGAAGGCCGAAGGGAGCAGGAGAGACTCGAACTTATGGATGTCATGGAGAGACTGGCATACTGGTTTCTGAGAAGTCTCAGAAATAATATTTCCCCTGATCAGGTGGACACAATGCCGTGGCATAAAAAGCTTCTTTTTGAATTTGCTGGTAGAGTTGTCGAAACTGGCCTCAGCGCAGATACTCCATCGTACAGGCCAGAGTGGAAGCATGATTCTTTTGAGCAAATAGAACCCCTTTTGCAGGGATTCGTGCACACAGTGGATCTCCAGATCCTTCTCGCGGCTGGCCAATCACTGGTTCCTATAATGCGAGGGGAAGTGGATGCGCTTAGTGTTGTGATGAAGAACGATTTGCTCTCCCGCTTCTACCGCGACGCAGTTACCTTGGAAGGTTTAAATAGCGCATTTTCCAAACTTGTGAAGCCTATATGCCACAAATTTCCACAGTCAAGAATCCTCGAGATTGGGGCTGGAACAGGAGGAACCACAGGACCGGTCTTGGACACAGTATATAATGCGTGCGTGTCGTATACATACACCGATATATCCTCGGCCTTCTTCGAGAGCGCTCAGTCAGCCTTTGCTCAGTATGGAGACAAGATGGAATTTAAGGTGCTCGATATTGAAAAGGACGTTGAAATGCAAAACTACGAAGAAGAGTCGTTCCACCTTATTATTGCTGCCAACGTCTTCCATGCTACAAAGAGCCTCTCTAACACCATCCGTAATGTTCGTCGTTTACTCGCACCTGGAGGCTATCTAGTGTTTGGGGAGGTGACAACAAAGCGTCTGCATCACTTTACCACCTTCGGGACCTTACCAGGTTGGTGGCTTGGTTTTGACGAGGGCCGTCAGGATGGGCCAACCATAGGTCCGGCGGAATGGGACCGTTTGCTGCAAGAGAATGGATTCTCTGGAATTGACAGAATCATGTTTGACACTCAAGATATCCGCAGCCATACACACTCTGTGATTGTCACCCAAGCCACGAGTATTGAGATTGACATACTGCGGCAACCGCTGAAGTTCCAACTTGACGTCTGCCGAACACTCCAAGGTATTTTAATCGTGGGCGGTAGAACGCTGCGCACAAAACGACTGCTCGATCATATAATAGGGTCTCTTGCCCCATCTTTGGTGAAGGTCACCGTGGTTGGGTCGCTAGAACTGTTGTATGCTGGGGAGCAAAAAGGGGGCAGCAAAACGGAGACGATGGTGCTCTATATGGGAGACTTAGATGGGCCTCTTCTTGAAAACTTTACGGCTCCAAAGCTCCTGCTGCTCCAAAGATTTCTCAATGAGTATAGCGATATTCTGTACATCACCGATGGGTCTAGCCCGTTCTCGAAGATGATGACCGGAATCGCCCGAAGTGTGGATATGGAGCTCTCAAAACGGAGATTACATATGGTCACCTTAGACTGTCCCACTGGCTCCAACCAAGAATCTCAAAATGTTCTCGTACTATTTCTTCAGTTCATCTTCACAAAGCACCTTTTGAACAGGGCTACGAACCTGATTTTATCAGATGAATCCGAGCTAGTGCTTCACAATGACAGTGTGATGATACCTCGTCTAGTCCCAGATCAATGTGCCAATAACAGATTTAATTCTGCTAATCGGGAAATTATCATTGAGCGGCATTATCCAGACATTCATGGTCGCCGGCTTCAACTTGATTCCAAGAGGCGACTGAAGGAGAAGGATATTAAAACAGTGGATCCCGTTTCGGGGAATGTCCGGATCCGTGTTCTGCGATCAATGCACCCCGCAGTGAAGGTGTATGCATCATACCTATACCTTTGTGTTGGGATTAGACTGGTCGACAATAAGGCTTGCATTGCATTCGTAGATCAGGCAGCAACCATAGTCGATGTACCAGAAGAGCTTCTATTTGCTTGCGAATACCCGGCTTCCGAATGGAACGATCTTTTGAGCATGCTACTTGTTCGTTTGATATCTCGACAAGGTATGGAAATGCTGTGTCCCGGGGGTTGCATATGCTTCCATGATCCAGACCTGCAGGCCATATCTATCATTCGAAAAAGGGCCGAAGAAAATGGTCTTCAGGTCCTGTTCACAACAACGCGATCAGGAGGGGAACAAGCCTCGGACACTATTGTCATCACACCACTGACCACATGCCGAAAACTGACTTCACGCCTCCCACGTAACCTAGACCTCTTCCTTGACTTGTCTGAGAAGGGATCAAACTCTGTCTTAACTACACGCCTTCGATCGTGTCTCCCCACCAATACCAGGCAGGTGGACTTTTCGTGGTTCTTTCAGGTAGAAAGTACGTCACAGACTGGTTCAAGAGCTCAGATGTCTACATTTCTTAGGGAAGAGATCCAAAGGTGCAATGAGAACGACAGTTCTGCTTTGGGTGCATTCAAAATAGATGCTGTTCCCCTTTCTCACCTAGAAAAATCGTCTTTTAAAAAGCAAATTGTTGACTGGACACTTCATTGTTCTGTTTCGGTTCTGGTTCAGCCTATCCAGTGTACTGTTTCGTTGTACGACCCCAGGAAGACCTACGTTTTTGTTGGTTTGAGTGGGGATCTCGGCCATCTTCTCTGTCGGCGCATGGCCGAAGACGGAGCAAGGTATTTTGTTCTATGCAGTCGGCAGCCGACGGTCACTCCAGAGCTTACCAACGACCTTGAACGATTACAATGCACCATAAAGACATATTCGCTAGATGTGACGGATCTTCAGGCAGTCAGATGCATGCATACAGAGTTGTCTAAATCCATGCCTGCTATAGGGGGTGTTCTCCACGGCGCAATGGTGATGTCGGACAGCTTGTGGTCGAATATGACGTTCGACGAATACCAAAAGGTGTTTGCACCAAAAGCCCAAGGAGCAATCTATCTGGACCGAATATTTCAAGAAGATACGATTGACTTCTTTGTACTTGTTTCCTCTGCAATCGGCATCATCGGTAACCCAGGACAGGCAAACTATGCAGCAGCGAATGTATTCCTTCATGCACTTGCGAATGAGCGCAGAAAAAGGGGTCTGGTGGCTTCGGTGGTCGCTCTATCAGCTGTTGGCGGCATTGGATACTTTGCTCGATCAGGACGTCAGGTTCAGTCACAAATCGAGAGGCTGAATATTGAGGTGATTCCAGAGTCTGAGATCTACCCTATTTTCGCCGAATCAATAGGGCGTAGCAAGCATAGTGAATCTAGACACTCGTGTGAGGTTATTACAGGGCTAAGAAGAATTGAGGATTCAGCACCAGAACACACTCGGCCTGAATGGTACTCGAAGCCTCGATTCTCCCACCTGATTGTGCCGGGGAAAGGAAGCCACCAGAATACAGGACAAGTCGGGCGTGATACTTCGGTTCGTGCCCAATTATCAAGATCAGAACGGAAGAAAGATGCGGAGGAGATTACACTGGAGGGGCTCCAACTGCGGCTTGCACACATGCTCCAAAGGCCCGTTACAACTATTGATCCACTAGCCTCCCCTGTGTCTTTGGGAATAGACTCACTAATGGCAGTGCACATCAGGACATGGTTTCTGCAGGAGCTAGAATCTGACATCCCTGTATTGAGGATCCTTGGAGATGTGTCAATTGCAGAGATCTGTAATCAAGCTTTGGCAATTTCCCCTGTTATAGGTGAATAACTTCCCGAGCCCCTACGGGAAAAACGGGAATGGTCTGAACATTACATGGGACTCCGTGCCCTGGTCAACGTCCTTGTTTTTTTCTCTTCCTTTCTATACGTTTTCCCTTTCTGTTCCTTGTTTGATTTGTTAGTTTCTCTCTTCAAATCCCTGAACGGCTAATTGTATGTGGCCGATGAAATTGGCGTACACAAATCTAAGAGACTAATACGATTGTTCCAAGTTCATAGCCTCAGTAAACGTACAGATATCAAAAAGCCTGCCGAATGTACTGATTTATACTACATTATTTGGATATTCGATTACTAATTTTGTTTCACTGCAAAAGCCTGCCACTGAAATCCGTTGAGGGACAAGGTATTTCGCGCTATTTAACACTCGTACAGTATCACCATAAAGGTCGACCGATAGTACTTGGCTATCTCCTTTCCTCCCGTCAATACTTGCTTCGCCCAACCAGCATTCGCACGCCTCGTAAGAAACGGCATGTGGGTGTACACTTGATTAGTGTGGCAAGACATCGAGCACATCAATGTGCAAATCTGAGTAACTAAAGTCGGCAAGGTACACATCGTTTTGGCGCTCTGAATGTTTCATCCTAAGCCATGGTACGTCGTTTCCCCATTGGCTGTTGTAATAGAGGGGTATCATTTATGCCCTTACCAAGCTTTCAGAAACTATGTGAGACGCCTGGAGAACACTTCTTTTCGAGTTTAGGGGTTCAAACGGATCTGTCACCGTGTCCTCACATAGCTAGTCTCAAGCTTCTCTGCGTATGCGAAATCTTTCCTAGGCTCTATCCGTTGGGAAACCTGAGGGCAGCGGAATGAACTTGTGGTGTACCCAGCATTATCTATAAGAGCCCATGGGGGATGGCAGCACTACAACGCACGATAAGCGCGGGGCAAAAGTGGAAACGGAATAAGTAAGCATCACATAACTGAAATCGCTGCTCGTTATCAATTCAGGTGGATCAGGTGATGCCTGGCTACAGTGAATGTCTCAACAGTATGTTTAACATGGTGGAGAAAGAAAATGTGGACCCTAGATAATAATTTAGGCATGTTCTGTACAGATAGTCAGATCAAAAGCTAGCGTTGGACTCAATCCCTATGTCAAGACCTGTACGGAGGTACTACGCGTTAACAGGAGAATACATAGGAATCTGGGACCTGAGGTCGCCCGGCCTGAGGTACGCAATAGCATTAGGGCACAAATATCTACTTGTATACGGGCTTTGAGACAGTTTGTCCTGTAATTAGAATTTGGGTTGGGATTCTATGGAGTTGGGACGTCGTGGCTCCAGAAAGGGAGCACCACCTACGGAGCTGCTACACGCATTAGGCGGCTGCACTAGGTTCAATGAACATCTAATTTCTCCATCTATCCTGGGAGAAGATTGGGATATTTCAACTCACCGATAACTCCATCGGCTATGCGCTTAGAATGGGGGTGGAAAATGTGTATATTCGGTATTAAGTTGATGGCCATTAGAAGTATGCATTTCTGATATAGCGACTATTCCTTTTGCTTCATCTCTAACAAGTCCCACACTTCCTGCAGACAGGCGGTTGTGGACCCCTCATCCAAGATTTCTCTCTTCCAGGTCTCCTTCGACAGGGCATCACCGAGAAAGAAAGCAAGGTCGACACCCTCACCAATGCCACAATCCATTCCATTATATGGACCTTCACACGCTCCTGGGCGGACGGGGTCATGGAAACAGCTAATCGGAGAATTGTGTGCGTGGTAAAGAGATTTCGCGACGACATAGTCCCCCCACCAGTCACTATTAGGGTGCGCTACCCCCAACTTGTCAGCAGCATCGGGCACGGCTTCGGAGATGCAGGTTTGGAATTTGCTTGTTCGGGGATGCAGCGGCTTCTATCCACAGCGGGTGGCTTGCATGTTTGCTCAGCCACCACAAATTAGGGTCTTCGATCGGTCTTGCTAGAATCGTGTGCGAACTGTTCATTGAAAATTTCAGGTGCGTCACGCAGCAAATAATCCCACGTATTTGTATACCCTGCAATTATGCAGGCTCGTAGACACTCTTCAAACATATCTGGTCTCTTGTGAGCGAGCCTCTCATAGGTCGTCAAGTCCGCGGTATTTGAATACCAAATGAGTTCCGGCAATAGCTTCCCAGGAGTATTGATAGTGAGCCAGGACAGATTATTGGACATGATGCGGCGGGCGTTGATCGCGCGCCTGCTATTGATCTCATGTCTATCTTGCGGGTGCTCGGGGATCTGTGTAGTCCACCATTTGGCAAAGAACGGATAATGATAATTACCGTGCACCACCATGGCCCATTCATATTTAAGCATGTGCAGTCGTCGAAGCCGTGCGTAACGATCGATTTCTCCATTGTATGCGGCAACATAAATGAGTTTATCCTTTGATGAAGGGGAGATCTGTCGGGAGAGGGTTAAACAGCCGTGAGATGTAATCATCTGGTGCCTCCGGGACCTTTCTGTTATGGTCATCTATGCCCCAATCTTCTGTGATATTGAAATAAAGGGGATCGCGACAATATTCATTCCAAGGCGGGGCATCACATATGAGATCTCGAGGGCCATAGTACTTCGGTCTTGCAGTAAGACTCGCGTATACAGCAGTCTCCCCATTCAGAGATGCGACTCGAGGGGCATCAATGTTGACTGTACTGGTATAGTCATTCATAATCTCGAATTTTGCAGGCTGAGACATAATATGCTTATAAATCTATTGACTGCCATCGATGCCCCCCTGCGCGCTCGCGTAGCCAGCCTCTTCGGCAATATAGACCTCAGGAAGAGGTTCGAGTTCCGTGTACAGATCGATGTATCCCGCAATAGCACAGGCTTGGGCCGCATGAGAAAGCATGTCCGGGTATCGCTGCACCAAAGCCCGCAGAGTCTCCTCGGGTGGGACATCCGGATGCCAAATACAATAAGGCACCTCCTCAGGCGATGACATGGTCGGAACAATACCGCTCGTAATATCCCGGGCGTTTAAAGCGCATGTAAATTCTGGCTTGGTTCCACGAAGCTCTTGAGCGAAGCCATAATGATGGCGTATGCCGCGAATGGTACATAGTCGATGAACCTCCTCCTCCTCGTGTGCTTTCGGGATTCGGGACCCCTGGATAGCAGCCCTGCAGTCATCTTCGTCGTATTTGCCGATTCATTCCCTTTCTGGTTCTTACCGCTCCTCTGGGAATAGGATGTCGTAGAACAGATTCATGATATCGTTGATTCGTAGATGCAGGGATTAGAAAGTGGTTAGGGAGAATGACATGAGGTCGCTGGAATTTCAGATGGTGGCTTCGCCCTGTAATGAAACACCCGGTTACCGCTAAATGTATTGTATAATTTGTAATTTGTAGTGTTGTAAGTGGGGCCGGGGCTAAATCCCGGGTGTATAGGTCCCCAGGTCGCCAGGTCGTATGTATTTTTGGTTCTTACCAGTATAGGATCTGGTTATTACTAATACTGATTATTAGAAAAATTAAGCTGTAAAAATATACTGTCTTACCAGGTAGTAAATCTGGCAAGATCTTGTATTATATAAAATTTTAATTAAATTTTATTAAAAGATCTGATAATTACTAGTTAAGATTAAAAAAATCTAACCTGGGGAGTTTTAGTTATAAATTACTGTATATATATCAGGTATTATTTATTCTATTTCTATTTTTATATATATTTATTTATATTATATAATATAAAATTAATAGTTACTAATATCTACTAGAAATGATTAGATATAATTAGAAGATTTATATTATAATT